GACTTCCCAGTTTAGTCGCTTCTATTTTTTTCTCATTCAAAATCTTTTGTTACGAACGCACATTATTCGATAGTCAAAAGTGGGTGGTGCTTAGGGGTCCTTTTTCGTTTTTCGAGAAAATTAGAGCGAATAAGTACATTGTAATACGAAGGGTGCAAGAGAGAATGATGTGTTGCTGGTCTTACTGCTCCGGCCTCCTTCCCCCCCTGCTTCCTTCTCAACCCTCTCCTTTACACTCATAAGCCTCAAAAAATTGGTATGGGTGCATCAATATGTACCACATGGCTTCTTTCGCTCGGGAATATAACAGTACGAAATTTACAGCTTCTTCCTATTCAACTTTTCCTGAGAAAGCTATGGTCCCTAAAGTTAGTCTCTCATTGCGGACTTCTACTGCACCCATGATTTTTACCGACAATTACAGAAATGGACTTAAAGGCACATTTCGCGATAAGTCTTCTTGAAGTTGTGGTTGTTGAGGTAACTACGCCAGCCACAGGTCACGTACGATTTTCGCGGTTCAAAAGTGTTTAGCAAACGCGCTCACTACCTAGGTCCAGTAGGCCCATACCAGTTACGTTGGTTGACATGTTGGTGTCTGTCGTCTCATTTTTCTTTCTACTCTGTCATCCTTCGTCCCTGGTCTGTCGCTCTTTCCTTTGCTATCGAAAAATGTGTATTTAATTCTGCCTCATGGTCTGCATAATTGTTAAAAAGTAGCTATATAGTTTTGGGCAGGTAACCCCGAAACTCCAAAGGGAAACTCTGCTGCACACAAACCAATGTTTTTTTTTGTCAAGTAATGTTGTTGGCTGAGAGCAATGATGTAGTAGTGTACAGGAGTATATCTGAAAGAGAAGTTTCTAATCGGAAAATGTTTGAGGGTTTCATCGAACGTGTTGATTTTTGAGAGGTACGTGCATGTCTGTGATATCTGTGGGATCAATGTTTCAGTGTAGTTTTTTCGTTTCTATTTGAAAGTATGATTCTATTTGTATTTCGCTTAATAAGTTTCTTTGGTGTTTATTCGGCTATGTCTACTTGGATGCGCTAGTATTCTTATGCACTGCACATAATATTTCAGAATCTAATAAAGTTTCCAAGCGACTTGAGTTCATGAGTTAGTGGTAAATCGATATTTCAGAGTTTTCGAATGGGCAAAGGTATCAGCTTTGTAGAAATTTCGCTCAAATGATCTATCTGAAGTTATTTACCCTAGGAACGTTCCCCCAACTTCGTAGGCGTTGTTCCTTGCACAAATAGCATGGTCCTCAGTCTCGACTGCCCTTTTTCAGCGGCTTCACAGCAAGTAGCGAGGGCGCTGTGTCCCTCATAAGTGGAAGTTATGACGCCTCCCTAGCTGCCCCGCCCTCAAAGGCTATTTCTGTCACGAGTTGAGTCCTTAGATCGTGTTTTTCGTTTTTTTTTATTGTTAGATGGAATTAGCATTGGATTACGCTAAGAAACGATTACTGAATCAAAGGCGGCAGGAGATCTCCCTGCTAGCATGAAACGAGCAGATCCGGAAAACTCGTACAGAGAGGCTGCTGGGGAGTCCTCAGGGTGTTCAGCATGATTTTTTTTCGCTTTCTTCTTCCCTAAAGAGTCGCTTAGCGACTTGGGTTCGTAATTGAAGGCTGATATCCAGTCGCGGAGCCTTTAACCTTAACCTCTTGGACATCTATAGAACTTTTTGGTACCACCTCATCTTGTTAGAAGTAACTTTCTTTCCCATGACGTCAATCCAGTTCCCCAAAGAAGTCTTAAAGGCAAGTGGTACGATGAGTCCACAAGACGTTTAGTATTAGTACGCCTAGCAGGACAGAATTTGGCGCTCTTGGGTAGGCGTTGCGTGGCGCCTTTTCCGAAGAAGTAGTCCTTATGGCGCTTTTCAAGCTGCATCATACCGACCCGGACGCGCAGCATGCCTGCCCGTCCGCCCACAAATGTCCGACTGATGCTGATGCTCGTATCGCTTCATTTGCGAAGTACAATATGAAGCGAAGGGATTGATATGAAGCGGCTGCGGTGTTGCATCTATATGAGTACACACATAGAGCCGTGTCCGCCGTAGCGGCTATTGGCAAGATGCCAACAGGGAACTCGTCCGAAATTGCTTACTGAGTCGTGTGGAACAAAGGCTTTTTTTGCGTGTTTCTCACCCTTTCACTTCGCTTTTCGCCATTTTCCTTATATATAGCACCCTTACAACATTTTAAACCGGGTACCAAATTATCGTGACTTATGCCTTTAAGTGCTCTCTCTTACCCTTCTTCCCCCTCCCCTCCAACTGATCAAAAGGAGTCATATTTCAGTTGTTGCAGGACAGGTCCTGCTTGGGTTGGCAGGAAAAATCTGCACTGATAAAAATGAGTTTGGAGAGATTTGAGTTGGCTGCGAATACAATTTTCCCTAGTGCTATCCATCCCTTAGTGGTGGTCAAATATTTTTTCCTATACAGTGAGCTGGTGGGTTCTAGATGAGATTTCCGAAATTCCAGTTAGTGAGGGCAGGGAAAAAGGATGGGATCTATTCGAGAATTCCCCACGATCAAGTGAATTGACGCTCAGGCAAAGAAATGTTTCGCTATTCAAAAAAAGAAAGAAGGCACCAGAGGGTCAGCTGCACTGCAGGTCCCGCCCCGCGACTAGCGGACGACTGCGATCAACCCCTGTAATTTGGTAACTTGATTACGTACCACCAAGGAAATTTTCGTTTTTTCAAACTGCGAAGGGAGCGGCTTTACGGCTCACTGCCCAGACTCGTGGAAGCCTATGCTGGCTCGCGTTGCCCCTGCCAGTGGTGATAACGTTGTTGTGCTCTTTGGCCCGTCGTTTTCTGGTCTCTTTCCCCTACTTCGCGGTATATTGCCGCCTCTCTCATCATGCAGTTAATATTGACCATCTTATACACGTCCGTGGTGATGATCATTTGCAAGAAAAAAGGTCATAAGTGAGGTCGTTCTCTGTTTTCGCCTTCTCTAAACTGGCGCCCACACTTTCTTTCTGATCGCCACCTTTACGATCAGGGCGCAGTTCGACGAGCAAGTCTCCCGGTCAGGCCATCCGGCCACATCGGGTTTTCTGCGCTCGTATAGATCATTGAATCCTACTTTCAATATGAATGAGGACCCTATGAAAGTTTTATCAATTGTTCTATGGGTTCCTCGTTTTGACGGTGTCGTGGTACCCTTATGTAATCATACTTTGTGAAATTTTCGACGCTTTCGAGTCACATATTCAGAAATTTGTTTGGCCTTATAGCAATCACTGAAATGCAGCGATTTACAAACCTAGTTGAATAGAATGACATCAAAGAAAGATAGTGAGTTTACTAGACATTTTTAGGGTCGCCAGAGTGAGATAATCAGCTTTCGCCTTGGTGGCGGTCTAACCTATCGGGAGACTTGCACGAATCCACTTCGGATGTGCTAAGAACGTTGAAAAGTCCAGATATGTAATTGAAAGCTCTCATAATTTTTTAATCGAAATCGAACCGATGGCCATCCGCGGAAGCTTAATCATCGCCCAAGGAAAATGTTGACGAAAGCTGATACTTCCCTGTTCCCACGCAGCAACTTTTCTCAGATGGAGACAAATGAGGTGTTGACTGTTCGTTGAAAACAGACTGTTTTCATGATGAAGACGGCAGTTATTTCACAAGTTATTATTCAGCCTAATGAAGCCTCAAAAACATGGCTATACTCCTGGAGGATTAAGGACGCCCACTAATACATATGCATATTGTGTGCACGAAAAAAAGGTTACCATTTGATTCTCCAGCTTCTCTCTTCTTGCAACCTCGGCATGTTAGTAGTGAGTGTTTCAGTTTTCTTGTGCCTTACGAGGTTGTTAGGTGGAACATTTATTAAAATGGCCTAACGTTTCGACTTAATCGTCGTCTTCAGAGGCCTGAATGTGTTTCAAGCATTAGATATGCAACCTACCCCACCAAGCACCTCGTCAACTCTAGCGGTTCCGACGTC